ATCCTAAAGCTCCTGGAGCCCGTTTTCAGGAGGCGTGCAGCTGGGTTCTTTGCGATGCGTATACGGGTTTCTCAACAGGGACCTGCGTCGTATGTTGCGTGCTTTTGTACCGACCATCGCAGGAACGATGCCCAAGAAAACTCTTTTGGACAATCATGGAAGACACTTGTGGGGGGAAGCTCCTGACGCGCACGCCAGGGGCATCGAGATAGCGAGGCCGCGCCTGAGATCGCGCGCGACGCAACGCGACCCCCCGACCCCATTTACCCAAACCTTTCCGTGGTCGAGCCGTTTTTCGCCCCCTCTGGCTGGGCGGAGGGCTGGGCGCCAGAGTCGGTGATCTCGGAGGCGGGGCTGATAGGCATCTCGGAGGCGGGGCTGATAGGCGACAAGGCCCCGTCCTCGCGCTCGGCCTGCCAACGGAAATTTCGAGCGCTGAATCGGGGGATTGCGGGCCGCCGCTGAGGTTCGGGTCGGGCGAAAGGGGGGGATAGCAAAGGGGGGGTTTGAGAATCAGCTCACGTAGCTGATTTTCCCGGCGCCTCCCGGCGCCAGAGGCGGCCATGTATCGAGGAATGGGCCCCTCGGTGAGGCCGAAACCAGCTGCATGCAGCAAATTTCGTAACCCCCCCTTTCCCAATCCCCCCCTTTCGCCCGGCCCGAGAGGTACGGCGAGGGCATTGGATAAGGAATCATTTGATAAAGAATCCAGAGTCTGGAAGCTGGCGGAGCTCCCGTTGTGGATCGGCCGTGGGCATCCCCGCAGCCCTCATCGGATAAGGAATCCCCCAGGGTCTGAGGCCTCCCCGGCACATTCCTTATCCAACGCCCCCACCGTAGTCTGCAGGGTTGAGGGCTGAGGTTCTTCCTCAGTTGCCGGTGTCGACTCAACGACGGCCCGCTGATCCGTCGCTCGAAATTTCGCGCAGCCGCCGCCGGCGCGACCGCCAGCTTGCGGCGCATCAGGGAAACCACCACCTTCGCCTCGCCCTGCACGATGCGACGAAACTCCCGAGCAGATGATCCGCCTAATCCCTCCTCTTTGTTTGGGGTTCAAATCGATTGCAGCTTGTTGCATCCGCCCGCGGGCGTAGCACCTGCATCCACCCCTGGGCGCGGTCCCTGGACCCCACCGGAAGCCCCACAAGCTCGAGGATCGACCCTCGATTCCCCCTCCTCCTCCCCCTCCTCCTCCTCCTCCTCCTCCTCCTCCTCCTCCTCCTCCTCCTTCCACCTCGACCTTGATGCCATCTGTTCGTTTCCCAAAAGCTCCTCCTTCGAAATAAGTGTCGGCGCGTGTGTCTGCGAAGACTCTGCCCTCCCAGGGGTGCGACTCCTCCTCCTCCTCCCCCTCCTCCTCCTCCTCCTCCTCGTCCTGCTAATCGTCCTTCCCGTCCTTCAGTCGGATCATCCGCTGGGGAGTGTCGGATCATCCGCTGGGGAGTGACAAGTTTTGACCCCATCTCTCGAAGATCGAAGGTATTTTTTTGCTGCGCTTTGCTTCGAATGGTATCAGCCCGTTTTTGTGGGCCCTAGGGACCTCCGAGGACCCCCAGGGAAGTCCAGGGCCACGGGCAGCGTCTAAACTTACCAGGGGCGGGTCGACAGAACCATGAACACCATTTCTTTTCCAACGCTCCGCTCCCTCCTCCTCCTCCTCCTCCTCCTCCTCCTGGTAGCACTGGTAGCACTGTAAAGCGTGTCCGTGCGAGCACAGAATACACGCGCCTAGTAAAAGATGCGGCCCAGCCCCGAAAAATGGGACCCCCTGAACATAGCACCGCCCACCTTGCGCCCGTAAGCTCCTCACTATCAAGGGGGGCTGGGCACGACATCAACCTCGCCTTCCAGGCGAGGGCCCTCCAACGGGGTTCAAAACCGACGGGCTGGCATAACCCAGAATTGCCGGATGAGCCCACCACGGGGATTTAAAATCCCCCTCCTCCTTTAACCCTCAGTCCGCCCATGGGCTCATAGGGCTCATAGGGCTCATAGGGCTCATAGGTCTCATAGGGCTCATAGGGCTCATAGGGCTCAGAGGGCTCATAGGGCTCATAAGGCTTATAGGGCTCATAGGGTTCATAGGGCTCATAGGGCTAGCTAGGGCTCATAGGGCTCATAAGGCTCATAGGGCTCATAGGGCTCATAGGGCTCATAGGGCTCATAGGTCTCATAGGGCTGATAGGGCTCATAGGGCTCATAGGGCTCATAGGGCTCATAAGGCTTATAGGGCTCATAGGGGTCATAGGGCTCATAGGGCTAGGGCTCATAGGGCTCATAAGGCTCATAGGGCTCATAGGGCTCATAGGGCTCATAGGGCTCATAGGTCTCATAGGGCTGATAGGGCTCATAGGGCTCATAGGGCTCATAGGGCTCATAAGGCTTATAGGGCTCATAGGGTTCATAGGGCTCATAGGGCTAGGGCTCATAGGAATCATAAGGCTCATAGGGCTCATAGGGTTCACCCCCTCTTCCCCCTATTTTTTTTTGTGGCGCCAGCGGATGCCTGCCGATCTCTGCTCTGCCTATTGAAAGTGGGTCTTCGAATTTCCTTCCGGCGCCGCGCCCCTCTCCCCCCTCATTTACCTCCTCTTTCTCCCCCTCATCATCCTCTTCCCCCCCTCCCTCTCCTCGGCCCCCTCTTCTTCACTATATCCTTCCTCCTCCTCCTCCGCTTTCGTCCATTGGGACGCCTGGCCCACGTCGGCAGGCGACTGATGAGCGCCTGGAGCGAGCGTGGACCGCGCGCCCGTTGGCCGGCCCCGCGCTTCTTCGCCTCGAAGGTCGATGATGAGGATTCCCATTCGAATCAGCATCTTCGCCCTCGCCGTCGTCGCCGTCGTCCTCTTTAGCGTCGTCGTGGTGCCTTGCGGACGGCCACTGGGCTGCCGCCAGCAGCCTGTGGGTTGCAGCCGGCGGCCTTGCTGAGAACCCCCGGGGGCAGCAGCCCGGGGCGGAAGGGCCGCGGGAGGACGGGCCGCATGGCCTGCCCTGGAGGCATGGCCCACCCTGAGGGCCGTCCGGGGGGGGGACTCGCTGCTGGGCCAGCGAGAGAGCCTGGGCCAGCGAGAGAGCCAGACAGAGACGGAGACAGAGACAGACAGAGCGAGAGAGAGAGAGAGAGAGAGGAGAGAGAGAGAGAGAGAGAGAGAGAGAGAGAAAGAGCCGAGACAGCAGGCCTGGCGGCGCCGCCGGGCCCGTTGCCGCGACCGAGAGAGCGGGTGGAGGGGGGGGGGAGGGAGGGAGGAAAAGGTGGGTACAGGAAGCACTGGGATTCCAGTGGCCCCGATCAGCCTTGCCAAGTGCGGGGGCTCCTGTGGTTCTGATTGGCGGGGTCAGGATGGGCCAGTCCATTGCAACCAGCTCGATACTAGAACTCGCGGCTCCATGCTGTACTGGGCCGCTTGAAACTTGGGAAACGAGTGATGCAGGACGAAGGAAGACGAGGAACGAAGCAAGTGGGATCACGCGCCCTCCGCGGCCGTTCCCCTGGCCTTTGGAGGGGCTCAAGAGGGCCCCAAGAAGGCCCAGGAGGAGCTATATTGAACGGGCGGGTCTCTCTCTCTCTCTCTCTCTCTCTCTTTCTCTCTCTCTCTCTCTCTCTCTCTCTGGGCCCTCTTGGGGCCCTCTAGGGCCCCTCCGAGGGCCCTCTTGGGCCATCTTGGGCCCATCCTGGAGCCGTCGTGGGACATCCTGAGGGCCCTCAGAAAACCCCAAGACGGATCCCAGAGGCCTCCAAAAGGGGCCCAACGAGGGGCCAAACCACATTATAAAACCAGCCGTTCTTATCAGCTCACTTCCTGCCCTGGGACGGGCCCGCGGGGGCCCCAAAACGGCTCCAAGAGAGCCCCAAGAGGCCCCAGGAGAAGCTATATTGAACCCGCCTGTTCAATATAGCTCCTGCTAGGCCCTCTTGGGGCTCTCTCGGGCCCTCTCGGAAGAGCCCGAGAGGGCCCCAAAATGGCTCCAAGTGGGCCCCAAGGCGCTCCAAGAGCCCAAAGCTGGGGGAGGATAAGCAATTTCTTTTGCTGGTACTTCAACCATGTACCGACGGCCGTAGCCCGCGAAGATGAGCGCATCGACTGGAGGAAAAAACTCATGGCTACGCGCCCTGTGCGGCCTCCAGCCAGGCAACATCCACGCAGCCTCAGTAGTTCTATGCGAAGCCACTGCGCATGCAGTCCCTCCTTCCCCGCCTCCTCTCCCTCCTCCTCCTCCTCCTCCTCCTCCTCCTCCTCCTCCTCCTCCTCCTCCTCCTCCTCCTCCTCCTCCTCCCCCCTCTGATGTTGAGTCGGATGTCATCCTGGCCCCCCGCCCCAACACGGCGCGACACGCCGGCGTCCACCCAGCAGCGCGCGGCGCGCCAGCGTCCACCCTGTCAGCCTCCACCGGCCCGCACTCCGACCTACAAGCCTCTATATTTCCACCCACCCTAAAACCCGATAGCCCTCTAGCCCTATATCCCCATAGACCTCCAGCCCTATATCCCCATAGCCCTCTAGCCCTATAGCTATATAGCCCTATAGCTCTATAGCCCTCTAGCCCTATAGCCCTACAGCCGTATAGTCCTAATGCCCTATAGCCTTATATGCCTATAGCCCCATAGCCCCACAGCCCTACAACCCTACAGCCCTACATCCCTATAGCCCTATAGCCCCACAGCGCTACGAACTACAGCCCTATAGCCCTGTAGCGCTATAGCCCTATAGCCCGATAGCCCTATAGCCCAGTAGGCCCTGTGGGTAAATGTTGAACCGCGTCTTAAACGACAGCCGTGACACCTCCTCATCCCCGCCACCCTTCCCCTCTTCATACTTTCTCATCCTCCTCCACCGCTCAATCCATCCTTGCCGTGCGCCGCTTTCCCGCCCAGCGCCGCCGAACTATGCGCGCGGGCGGGGGGATCGCAGCAACAAGCGAGTTAATGCGCCAAGCAAGGTCTGCGTGCGCACCACGCGCCAAACTGTACATGCGCAGGGCAGATGCCGATCCTGCTCAGCTCACTCGGTCGTGAACTCCACGAGCGAGCTCCACGCCTTGCGGGGGTCCGCCTTCCAGCTGAAAGAGGCGTCATGCCTGTGGCCTGGCTTCCTCGCGCGCCACGCCTGCTTCGTGACGTCGCTGTACACCCTGTAGTCGCCAATCCAAGTCGCCTCGGTCTTGCGCTTGGGGACCCCTGGGAAGCTGGTGGCCGCCCGCCTGGCCGCGCCCTTCTGCGCCGGGGGGGTCAGCCTGGCCTTTTTCACTGCCTCGGTCTTCGCGGCGGCCGCCCGCGCGGCCGCGCCCTTCTGCGCCGGGGGGGTCCGCCTGGCCTTCTTCGCCGGGGAAGCCTCGGTCTTCGCAGCGGCCGGCCGCTTCAGGGCCTTCTTCGTGCCCGAGCGGGTCTGGCTCCCCGTGCGATTCTTCCCCTTGGGCGAAGGCGCCCCGTTCGGCGCCGAGGAGTCCTTCGCGCGAGCCCGCAAACGCGCCAGCCTGTCGGCGTTGGCCGCTGCGTCGGCAGGCGCACGCGCGGCGACCCCTGGAGCTGCAAGGGGCCCTGCAGGGGGCCCTGCAGGCGCCGCTTCGCAAGGAGCTGCAAGGGGCCCTGCAGGCGCCGTCTCCTCGCTAGCCGCGGATGCCTGGCCTGGGGCGACCATCTGAGCAGGCGCGGGGGGTCCCAGGGCTGCCGCCGAACTCGCCGTCGCAGGCGCGGGGGCTCCCGCGGCTGCCGGGTGTGCCAGGCCGTCCGCGAGCGCGAGCAACCCGCCGGCGCGGGCGGCGGCTTGCGGGCGACTGCATATAGTCAAGCCCGGCAGCTCGCCGCCCGCAGTGGCCGCCTGGTCCAGCAGCGCTGCCTGCAGGCCGCTCGGCGCGCGGCGCGCACGGCGCGGGGCGCTGATCGAGCTGTGGCTGATCCGGCAAGGGGGCCCCCTTCGCAGCAACTCCACCCTTAACGAGTCCACGGGGCTCGGGAAGACTGGGCGCGTGTCTGCAGGGAATGCCTTCTGGAATAGTTCTGGATGAGTCCTTTCGAGCTCATTCGGGTTCTCTGGGTAGACCCGCGGGACGTTCCCCGAAGGCACGTTCTTGCGCACCGCCCGCATCAGAGACTTGAAGTCGTTGGTGTGCGCGATGACTGCTGCTGAGGAAGGAGCCACCGGATCGGGCTGCCTCTGCAAGATCGCTTCCGCCAAGAATGCGATCACGTGGGTGCAGGTCTGCTCCGAAGGATATAGGAGGCCCAGGTCGCGAAAGCGGCCTACGACGATCTGGAGCTTCCGGCTACCAGCGAGGCAGGGGTCGCCGAGCAAGGTCCACTCCTGGTGCGTGAAATCCACCACCGTGCCCCTGGCACGTTGCGGCGTGGAAGAATGTCGAGTGTTGTCTGGTAGGGCTTCTGTTTTTTCTCTGACCCCCCCTGTTATAGCGCCCCGTCGCGAGCGCCTCCCGCCACTCCTGGGGAAGTGGCCAAAGGCTTTCAAGCCAGCCCTGCAGTTCCCCCTGCCCAATGCAACAAACCGCGCCCCCCACCTTATCGTCGTCGACATGACCACTGCAGGCATCGTCGCCGTCATTCGAACAACTGCCACCCAGGGTGAGGCCTGAACTGCGGCGGGACTTGCCGCAGGTTGCTGAATAATTCTGCGCGAAGACGTTCACCTGGCCAGTCGTGCGACTATCCGCGAAAGCATTTGCTCCAACGAGGGCGTTAATGGCACTGGTCAGTTCCACGCGATGCTGCAACGGGAACGTGCTGCCCGCGAGGGCGTTGAGCAACTCCCCAGCCCTCTGCGCCGAAAAGCTCGAGACTTGCGAGAGAGCCTGGCGGACGACGCCGCACTGCTGCGCATAACACGCAGCAAGAACGTCCGGGGCCGCGCCCGCGCGCACGCTCGCATCGAAAAGGCCCTCAGCGACGCGAATGGCGTCGAGAGCGGGGTTGGATGCAGACATCCCGCGGTGAGAGGAGAATCCAGGCAACGAGAAAAGCAACGCGCCTGACGCGCCGGGCCAAAACGGCTGCGAGAGGGAGCATAGGTGGGAAAGAAGGAGGTGGAGTAGGCGGCCAAGACTGCGGCAATGCAGCGCGGGCCCTCCCAGACATGCACATATGTATTTGCAGAAATGCACGACGATGGAGGCGAGGCGGGAGCACGCCTCTGATGTAGTTGATGTTGCCCCGTGGGCATTGCCATTCGGAGGAAGGGCGGAAACCTTGTCTCAGTTTTAACCCTGCGGGGCCTCGTGGGGCACGAAGTGGGACAGGAGAAGGAAGATAAGGGGAGAGGGGGGGGGCGGAGAGGAGGACAATGAAGTGAGAGGAAAAAGGATGGGGAAATGAGAGGAAGGAGGAGGACGAATGAGGATGATTTTGCATTGCATCGCAGTGGTAATGGTGAGTTGCAACATTTGACAATATTCTCAAACTACAAAACTATACTCCAGCCACTGAGTAAAGTGGTGCATACTTCGTCTGCGCCCCGTCTTCGGCGCAGCAGGATAAAGCACAGCAAGTGGACAAGAGAACCCCACGGCAAACGCGCCCTATAGCGACTCCACCCAGGCTGCATCCTCGCGGCGAAACAGAAAACAAACGGGCCCCGCGCCCATGCGCAGGTTGATGGCAAACTACGTGTATGCGGCCCCTGCCGCGGCCGACGTCAAACGGCGGCGTTGTTGAGTTCCCTCTCCCTTCCCCCATGTTCACTGTCCCCTCCTCTGCCTCCTCCCTCCCTGATCCCCCCTCGTCCTCTTGTTCCAGTTCAGTCGGGCCCCCCCATGGCGTTGTCGTTGCCCTCCCCCTCCCCCATGCGTCTCCCAATGTTGCGCCCGCCTCAGTCCGCGCGCGCGAAATAATCCTGGAGAGTCACCTTGGGCCGCTTCCTGGTAGCGGCGCTGGCCTTCGAAGGTTTCTTCATCGCGGCGGGCCTCTTCTTGGCGCTGCCACCCATCCTGGTTTTTTTGAGGAGGAGCGCCGTCGCGCGCTTGGCCGACTCGAGCGCAGCCGTTTGCTGCGCTTCCGAAGGGGCGGGTGCAACGGGCAAGTCCGCTGGCCCCTCCAGTGAAGCGCGGTTGTTGCTCGAGTACGGCAAGGCGCCCTAGCTGTGGCGAGGCTCGTCTGAACCCAGACGAGACAGCGGGCCTGGCGGCACCGCCTGGTCCGTTGTCTCAGCCGCACGCCTTTCGTGGGATCGGGGGCGGCGGCGAGGCGGCGACGATGCGCCCACCATTGACCCCCATGTGCAATCTGCGTTGCCGATCATCCAAGTATTGCTGAAAAGGCCTGGAGGAATGGGTGGCGAAGCCGACTAATTGTTCCCGTGCCTCTGGGCCAACACTCGGAAAAGCGGATCCAAATTAGCGGCCGGCAGCGCCGTGGGGTAGCTGTTCCCGGCGGCCTGCACGCAGAGGGCTTCGTCCGCCACCTTGCCGGCGATCTCCTTCGGGAAACCTTGGAGCGTCAGGCGTTCTGTCGGCGCAAGGTAGCGGGGCAGCTTCCTCTGCGACTGCGGGATGGCAACCTCGCCGCACCTCGGGGGACAATGTCACACGTTTGGGTGCGCGCCCCAAAACATTCAAATGTCGCTCGGGGCGGGGGGGGGGCTCGGGGGGGGGGGCGCAGCGAGGGCGAGAAGGGCGAGGAACACCTCCTTCTCTTCCTCCTCCATTTCCTCCTCATCCTCCTCCGCCTTCGGGGTCGCGAAAGTTCTGGGGGCATTAGCCTGGGGTTCCCGCCTGGGGGCATTAGCTGGGGTTCCCCATGGAGCCGCGAAAGTTGAGAGAGGTGTGCCGAAATGGCGCGGTGGTGCCATGCGAATTTTCACACTGGGGCCTTCGGTGGAGCTCCCTATGGGGCCCCGAAACGTGTGAGGGGTGTGCCGAAATTTGTGGCGATGCTAATGACGATGACGGCGATGATGATGACGATAACGATGGTGATGGCGATGGCGACGATGATGATGATGCTTCTGATGATGATGGGAGGAGGGAGGAGGAATGATGAGGAGGAGACCTGGGGCGCCGTGTCTTCAAAACGAGGACCCAACACCACAGGATGGCTGGGAAAAAACACCTATTGTATTTGGTTCGGCCCTTCGCCAGGACAAGTGCAAAAGCTTCTGTGGCACAGCCAGGCAGTAGTATTAAATTCCATCCCTGCCACCGCATCACGAAGATGTACTTGTTGTGCGTGGTGAAGGTGGGCACGACGTTGACGTGAACAGGGGCCGCGTGCACCTTGCCCGGCCCGCGGTCCAACGAGAAACTGATGACGTCGCGGGGTTCGACCTGCTTCGCCAGGAGAAGGGCCCGGGCGCGGCCCTCGTAGTGCGACAAATTCTTCCGCAGAGCATGCGTGAGCGAGTCCAGCGGGGTGGGCGGGAAGTCGCCCAAGAACTCCTCGAGGCGCGCGGCGGGGAAGTGCGGCGGCGGTGGGGGCACGGAATAATTGGCGGCCCCCGTCGGCGCGCGGGAACCGACCAGGAAACATCTCTTGCGGAGAGTCGGGAGTCCATAGTCCTGGGACTCGAGCACGCGGAAACTCCAAGAGAACCCCGGTGCTTCCTGCCCCAACACCAGCAGCACCTTTTCACCGAAAGACTCGGACTCCCCAGCGATTTTGCGCAGGATGCCGACCACGTTCTCGAGCACGGTGAACTGCAAGGATGCCTCCTTGATGAATTTGATCACGAGCTCTAGGACGCGTAAGAACACGTCCGCACGGGGGTCGGCGGCGCCCCCCCTCGACCCCTGCGCCGACCATGGCGGGCAGGGCGGGCCCGAGACCAGGCCGTCGCATGGTCCTTTGAAGGGCGCCAGGCTCGGGCGAAGGACGTCGCCTTTCTCCTTTCCCACGCGCGAGCCGCCGACAACGAACTCGCCCAAGTGGTGCTGCAAAAGATCTGCGTACCCTTGTTCGAGGTCAAAGACGTGAGCGGCCGAGTGCGGCACCTCCATGTCTTTCAAGGCGAAGCCGCAGCCGTCAATGCCGCAGCAAGGGACGGCCACGACGAGCGGGCGGCCCAACGGAGGGGCCACTCCTGGCCGCGCGTTGCGGTACCCCGACAGCGGCGCGGGCGTGCTGGCCACGAGCTGGGGCACCTTCGCGCCCCACGCAGCTTTGGACGCAACCCCCGGCATCGCGGGCAGGTGTCGCTGGCAAGCGTCGCGGGCAATCGCGGCCTGAGGTGTTTGCAAGCACGAAAATGTCTTGAGCCAGACGGGCTGCAATGGGCGGGCTTTGCAAATGGGGAGAAGCTCGGGCGCCCCGCGAAATCAAATATCCAAGCGAGAAAGGCGAGGAACACCTTCTCCTCCTCCTCCTCCTCTTCCATTTCCTCCTCATCCTCCTCCGCCATTGGAAACGCGAAACGTGTGACAGGCGTGCCGGAAATAACGTGGCTGTCGAAAGCGGGCGGTGGTAGTGGGAGCTTCGGTGGGGCTCCCCATGGGGCTACACATGCTGGCGTCCGGCGGGGTTCGGCGTTAAAACAGTTAAACGCTATCGGGGGCCATCCCCAGGGCTCAACGGTGTGCCGAAATGGGGAGGGGCCGCCATGCGGTCGCTGCCACTGAGGCCTGACTTCCAGCCCCCTTTACTGGGCCACAAAACGTTTGAGGCGTGCGCCGAAATGAGGCGGGGCCGCCATGCGGGCGCAATCACTGAGGCCTTCGGTGCAACCGATACATGGGTCCGCGAAACGTGCGAGGGGATAGTGGCGATGATGACGATGATCAGCCTGTGCTGTTGTGATTGCCGCCGTTGTGACAACCGCAGTGGTGAGTATTGTCTTCGGTTGAACTACCTCCCAATGGGGCCACAAAACGTAGGGGCGACACACATCCGACCGAGAATTGCGAGGCCCGAGTGACCCACCCCCGCCTCAGGGGTCCGAGTGGTGACCCTTTCTGAAACGCCGCAAGCCCAGAAACCCGAGATCGGCCTGGATGGGCGCGGATAGGCGCGGATAGGTCCCGGATAGGTCCCGGATAGGTCCCGGATAGATCGCGGATATGTCACAGGGGCCCGAACGACTCACCCCCGACCGAGAACTGAGAGGCCCGAGCGACTCAGCCCCGACCTTGAACTGCGTGGCCCGAGCGGTTTACATCCGACAGAGAACTGAGGGGTTCGAACGACTCACCTCCGACCGAAAACTGAAGGGCCCGAGCGGCTTACCCCCGACCAGGAGCTGTGTGAGGGGTGTGCCGCAATGGGAGTGTGATGGCGATGATGATGACGATGTTGGCTCAAGCCATTTTGGCGCGTTTCTATAATGGCTCAACGATTTGCGCGACAGATGGCTCAGAGTAGCAGTAACCCCCTTAAAATTCCGCGATCTCAGCCAGTACACGGCCCAGGGTTAACTCCAAGTTGGCTCAAGAGCTGACCCAGCGGGCTTAGCAGTCCCGAACGCAACCAGTAGCGCCCGGCTTGCAATACCCAAGTTTGGCTCAAGAGCTGTTCCCCCTTAAATTCCCGATCGCGGTGCCAGTACCGGGGGGGGTGGTACCGCGTAAATTGCCCAAGTATGGCTCAAGTCTGTTACCCCCTTAAATTCCCGATAGCGCACCATACCCCCACGGACTTTAAATTCCCCGGAGTTGGCTCAAGAGCTGTAAGGCCCCTCTTATAAGCCGACGACGCGCCAGGGTACCCCCTAACGGTTCAAATATTCCAGCCAGCAGCGTACCCCCTTAAATTCACGATCGCGGGGCGGGCGCATCTTTTGTTTAGCTGTAAATTCCCAAGTGTGGTCGAGTAGATGGGGCGCCCCGTTAAATTTCCGATCGCGGCAAAGTACCGCCCCCAAAATCCCAAGTTCGGACGAAGGAGCTGTAACCCCCTTAAAGAGGTCGGCGGGTAGAGCGTCGCGCACGAGTAACGCGCCCCCCCCCTTAAATTCCCGTACAGGAAGAGCATTGCACTCAACCATTTGAGATCTCACTCATTTGTTTGTGTGATGACTTCTTTGACGCTTGAGTCTATGAGTGCCCTGCTTGATGCCAAATTTAGGGAAGCCTCAAGCCTCAACATCTCGACACTGACGCTCTGACACTGCACGAGCGGAAATACTTGCTCATTCGCGCCCGCATAAATGTGACTCATCATCTTGGGACCAAGGACACGCATAGCGTGGAACCTATTGTTTGGGAAAGTGCCTTCCAATAGGTACTCCAAAAGGTACCCTCTAGTGTGCATGGTGGCTTCAACTTGATCAATATGGGCACCCCCGCGGGGGGCTCATATGCCCCCCCCCCCTCTGGGGGACTGACGATGGACAAATGATGCACGGAGAGCCAGGTCCCGACGAGCAAGTCCAGACAGGCACCCCACTTGAGAGCGATCACACGCATGCGCGAACCCCCACTGGGTGGGTGGGGGTGGGGGGGGGGGGGGGGGGGTTTGGGGGGGGTGGGGGGGGGGGGGTACCTAGGTGGAAGAGCACCATGCAAGGGTGCCACGAAACATGTGAGGGGTGCGCCGAAATGGGGCGGCGTTGCCATGCGAACTTTCCCACTGGGGGCATTAGCGGGGGTTCCCCCTGGAGCCGCGAAGCTTGTGAGGGGTGTGCCGACATTGGGCGGTGGTAGCAGGCGAGCTTTCCCACTGGGGCCTTCGATGGAGCTCCCTCAACAGGATCTGTTTTCTCAAGGCCGCACGTTCGTGGCGAGCTCAGTGGGCTGCAACTGTACAAACTGGAGGTCGTGCCGCAGTGGCCAAACTATACATGCCTCTGGGTACGCGCCAGGCGCCGCGCAGCTCCTGTGCGAAAGGATGGAGAAGGCATGCTACATATCCTGCCTCCCATGCCGCCCCTGATCCGCCCACGTCCTCCTCATCCTCCTCCCCGTTTGTGCGAGATTCTGCGGTGCAGATTTAAGTGCTTCGTCTGGCTGCTCTGCAAGATGGAACACATAAGATTGACACGCTCCTCCTCTCCCTCCTCCTCCTCCTCCTCCTCCTCCTCCTCCTCCTCCTCTCCCTCCTCTTCCCCCTCCTCCTTCATGTGCTCCTCCGCCTGCCCCTCACCCTCCTGAGCCCCCGGCCCCCCCCTCCTTTTCCTCCCTCTTCCGACTCCTCGTCCTCCTCATGTTCCTCCTCCCCCATCCCCCCCAATCCTCCTCCTCGTCGGAACGTCCTCGCCCTCGTCCTCATCATTTTCCCCCTCCCCCTCCTCCTTCTCCTCCTACCCTTCCTCTGCCTCCTCCTCATCCCCCTCTCCCTCCTACTCCTCCTCCTTCCCCCCCCCCAAGTTACTGCCAAAAAATGACAGCGCGGGCAAACAGGGCTGCCAATGCCTAGTCCAAGGGGTCTACCGCCGTTGCCCCCACCGGCTCCCCCGCTACGGTGGTGGCCGCTGTGGAAGGCGCGGGGGCTTCGAGGAATGCCTGGGCGAACTCCACGGAGTCGTTGACGCGCCCGACGACGTCCGTTGCCACTTGGAAAGTCTCCTTCATCTCTTTGGCGGTCTGGGTCACGAAACCTTTCACGGCCGTGCCGGCCTGCAGCGCCCCGTCGAGCTCCCGCTTCTTCACCGTCAGGGTGTCCCGCGATGTCTCCACGACTTTCAGTAGCATCGCCGGGACGGCCCCCGCCATCTCGGGCGCCCCGGCAGTGACCAACGCCCCCGCGATAGACAGCAGGGCAGCATCGGTCTTGGCCACGAGAGCTTCGAGTTTCTTCTTATCCGTCTCCGAGAGCGGCTTCTGGGCCGGGGCTGGCGGCTTTTTGCCCTTGTCTGCGGGCTCGCCTGTAGCCTCTGCCGCCGCCTTCGCCGTCACCTTGGCTTTCCCCTTCGCCTTCGCCTTCGGCCGCTGGGTGACAAAGGACTCAGTTTTCCTCTTGCGCACCCCCCTGTCGGTCTCCATGTCCTCCTGGACGCTGACGTACTCGAAGACCTGGTACAAGGTGACTTCACGAGTCTCGTGGTGGAACGTGTCCGCGTTCCTCAGGATTGCCTCCGCCTGCTGGGGGCGATTCTTGAAGGTGTCTCGGATCGTCGTCTCGTCCAACCACTGCCCCTCTCCCTTGACGCCCTGCTTGGACAACTTCTCCGACTCGATTTCGAGGCTCTCACACAGTGTCACGGCGAGCTCCTCGCCGTAGAGGGCGCCGTGCTGCTGGGAGAACCCCCGCCTCGCGGCAGGACCCTGAGCCGCCCACCTCGCGCGGAGCTTCTCGTTCTGACGGAGCACGGCCTGGCAACGCGACTGGAAGTTGTTGCACTCGGAATGCCTGTAGACAGCACCGCGCGCCTGCGTCGCCTTGTACACCTGGATGTGGCGCTCGCCCTCCTGGATGTCCTTGCCGCACTTGTCGCACTTCGAGAGGATGGCCGGCATGGCGCTCGACGCAGGCGCTGTCGTCGTATCCGCACGGCGATGACTGAAACGCTTCGGGAGACAAACGGCTGCGACCAGGCGGATGAGTGGGAGCGTTGGGACAGGCGTAGGGGACGACGAGGACGAGGTGACCCTGCGGCCGCCAAGCGGCTCGAGCGGCGCCGCTCGAGCCACCCGGCGGCCGCTTGCACCTTCTAGTCGTCGTCGTCCCTCCTTGCAAGATCGAAGATGGAAGGTGACGGGCCTTCTGGCCTTCCTTGTCCTTCGGGATGTCTCCGGCGCCTCCTCCCTCCGCCCTCCTCCTCCTCCTCCTCCTCCTCCTCATCCTCCTCATCCTCCTCCGTCCTCCTCCTCCTCCTCCTCCTCCTCCTCCTCCTCCTCCTCCGCCTCCTCCCGTTCCTCCTCCTCCTCCTCCTCCTCCTCACTCCTCCTCCTCCTCCTCCTCCTCCTCCTCCGCATTCTCCTCCTCCTCCTCCGTCCTTTTTCCGTGCCTCCTCCTCCTCCTGGGGGCCCTTTCCTCCTCCCTTTCCACCTCCCACCCCTCACGGCCTCCCCACCTCCTCTCTACCTCCTCCCTCCATCCTTTAAAAAACCTCCAACCTCCTCCTCTCCCACACTCCTCCTCCTCCTCCTCCCCTCCTCCCTCCTCCTGACCTCCTCCGTCCAGAGGGGCAGGGCGGTGAGAGGAGGAGACGGGCGGAGGAAGGGAGGAGGAGGAGGAAGAAGGCGGAGAGGAGAGGAGGATGGAAGAAGGAGGAGAGGAGGAGGAGGAAGAGGAAGGAGGAGTAGGTGAGAAGATTGAATTATGGATGATGCTGATGCTGAAATGAGGATGTAATAAGGATTGCGGATATTGATGAGAGTGATGGGGGCTGAATGATTATGATGAGGAGAGGAGTATTAAGTAGGAGAGGAGGAGAAGGAGTCCGTCTATGCCGTCTCCCCTCCTCCTCCCTTACGCGCCCCGAGGCGTCCTCACCCATCCCTCCTCCTCTACCTCCTCCTCCTTCCTCCTCCTCATCCATCCCATCCATACATCCCATACCATACCATCCATCCACCATCCATCCATCCAACCATCCATACAAGCCATCTCCATCCATCCATACTACGTCCCTCCTCCTCCTCCTCCTCCTCCTCCTCCACCTCCTCCCCTCCCTCCCTCACCTCCTCCTGTCCGCGCCTCCTCCTCCTCCTCCTCCGTCCGCCTCCTGCCTCCTCCTGACTCCTGGCTCCTGCCTCCTCCACCTCCTCCACATTCCTCCTCCTCCTCCGCCTCCTCCTTCCTCCTCCGCTCCTCCTCCTCCTCCCTCCGTCCGCCTCCTCATCCTCCCTCCTCCCTCCTCCCTCCTCCTCCTCCTCCTCCTCCGCCTCCGCCTCGCCACCGCCTCCGCCTCTGCCTCCTCCTCCTCCTCCTCCTCCTCCTCCTCCTCCTCCTCCTCCTCCTCCTGGCGGCTCGAGCGGCGCCGCTCAAGCCGCCCGGCGGCCGCGTGCACCGGCTTGTCGTCGTCGCTTCCCCCTGCAGGATCGGAAGTCGAGGGGTGCAGGGATTTCTGACTTTCTCTTACCGCGGAATGTCTCTGGGGCGACCCAGGGCGCGCAGGGGCCCCCGAGGGTGCGGGGGGGAGGAAGGGGAGGGGGATTTTTTGTTCGAGGAACCTCTGAGGGCTTTCATGGAACCTCTGGGGGCTTTCACGAAGCCCTCTGCGACGAGGTGTTCCTGGAATCTCTGGTGGCTTTCCTGAAGCCCTCTTACAGCCCATGGCTCTATGAAGCCTCCAGGGGGCTTCGATTGTCCCGAGGCTCCAGAGTAAAGCCCCATCTATGGCCTGACGCTTCGATGCGTTCGTCGCCGTGGTCGTCACTCTCTGCGTCGTCGTCGCCGCTAGAGCCGCAAGAGAGTTCCAAGATGGACCCAATGAGATTCCAGACTTAGCGCCCCAAGCAGAGCCCAAGCGAGTATTTTTTCATTACCGTTCGCACCACAGCACTGTACACGCCGGCGCCGCAGAGCGGCGACGCTCGCGCCGAGGGGCGCAACAGGGGCGACAAAGAGGGCGGCAGCCTCCGCGCCATGGCACTGTACACGCCAGCGCTGGAGCGCGTCGCGCGCGAGGCTACTGCGCCCAAGGCGGCAGGGCCAGGGCCCTCGTGCCATCGCCCAAAGCCGCCCATGCGACCGCCCCGCGACATGAGGCCGCATCCAACGTCACTGGAAATCCGCCATCGGCCTTATAGCGCTGAGCGGCCACAGGCGCAACTGGCAACCACGGCCGCACGGGCGCCGAAAGACGACCGCGAGAGACCATGAAGCCCACGCACTCCCCCACCACGATCCCATCGGGGACCTCGAACCACAAAACGTCGCCCATCGTGAAGAGCCCGTGCGCCGTGCGCATCGAACGGCCACACTCTGCGTCGCACGACGCAGTTGCGGCACGATGCCTCGGATGGCAGGAGGGGGCGGCGGCGGGGGAATAGGAAACGGAATCCCCCCTCTCATCCCTCCACAATCCTCCCGCTACATCCCCGCACCCCGCCCCCCCTCGCTCATCCGTTTCCCCTCGTCGCAGTTTTCGTTTTCAAATCCTCTTCCCTCCCGCCCTCCCGCCCTCCCTGCCGCGTGCCCCCGCCCTCCCGGCCCTCCCCCTCTCCCCTCCGTTGCCCCCTCGGGCGGCCTCGATGGTTTCCTAGGTTTTCCTTCGGGGCCCTCTAGACCTCGAGCGAAGCGGTGGCGCCTCTCGGGCGCGAAGCAAGTGAGCAAGCACCCGTGGCGTCGGATCATGTCTGGGATGCGTGGCAGAGCCGCAGCCCCAACCCCCCGAAAAGGGGAGGGGCAACCCGGGGCTATCTATTATAAGTAACGCAAGACGGGCCGCCCGCTTCCAAAGGCCTTCGGATGCGATGGCAGTGATGGGGCTCCGGCGGGGCTCTCTGCGGGCCACGAAACGCGTGAGGGTGCCGCGTAACGTGTGCGTTTGTGGTGCCAGCTAGGACAGATGAGTGCGATGTCCGCTCGTCGAATACAGCTCATGCCTCTTCTCACACGCACCCGCTCTCGCTCTCTTGTCTGTATGTTTTGTTTGGTTGTTGTTGTTGCTGTTGCTCTTTTGTTTCATAGGCGCCCCAGTGGACGAAAGCGGAGGAGGAGGAGGAGGAAGGATATAGCGAAGAAGAGGGGGGCGAGGAGAGGGAGGGGGGGGGAAGAGGATGATGGGGGGAGGAGGAGGAGGAGGAGGAGGAGGAGGAGGCAAATGAGAGGGAAAATGGGGCGAGCCCTACGAGCCCTATGAGCCCTATGAGCCCTATCAGCCTTCTGGGCCCTATGAGCCTTATGAGCCCTATGAGCCCTATGAGCCTTATGAGCCCTATGAGCCCTATGAGCCCTATGGTTTTTGTCTCTCGCGGCAGGGGCGCGCGGACCCGCGACAGCGCGATGTCTAGTGGAGCTTGGGTTTGGCGGTCGCGGGGTACAACCCAGGCGCCAGCTGCCTGTATTCCTCCAGAACTTGCTCTACGCGGTGGGCCCGTGAGACCAGCTCGGCGTCGGTCAGCATGGCGCAATGGCATGCGATCTCGAACAGCAGGGCCAGGCAGTGAACCTCTCGGCGGAGCGAATCGCTGCACTGGAGCTGTTTGACCAGGACGAGGAGCCACAACACGGAAATAGCGTCGATCGCCTCGCTGGCGAAGCACTCGAGGTACCCCGCGCCCGCCCTATCCTGGAAGAAGGTTCTGCCCATGCGTTTGCGCCCCCCGCCCGAAGGCAATCGGGCGTGGAAGCAAAATCGTCGAGGTCTTTTAAGGTGATGGGCGCTTCCGTCGAGGCCAATGACCCAACGAAGCATCCGAGTTGGATGGGCCCGACGCCCCCTGAAACAACGCAGGAGCGCATGCAATCCCAAAACGTGTGTTTGGCAACGTCTACAAATCCCACCAGCCCTTGCGAGGGCGCGGGTGGTCTCAGGAGCTCCCTATTCCAAACCCTTTCTTTCCCGTCGGAAATGATATTGCCCGCGTCCCCCCCCAACCCCCATCCCCTGGACCTGGGCGGGGTTGGGCCACGAGGGCGGGAGCGTCCAAGATGGCCCGGGATGGTTCCAAAGGGGCCTCTGAGAAGCCAACATCGCCTCAAAGATCTCTCGAGATTACCCAACGCGGTCAAGATAGCTTCCAGCATGCCTCCAAGGACCCTGAAGACCGCCCCAGGACGGCTCGAAGTGCGTTCCGATCCGCCCAGGGGGGTTCCAAATATTTTTTTGGCGACTGCAAGTCACCGAAAGCGAAATCGCGCAATGGCCCCGGGCTCGGGGGAGGAACAGACGACCCGGCAAGTATACGGCTACGTGTCGGAAAACAAATCTCACGGATTCGGTGCGCGGGTGATTTTCCGCCACTGGTTAGGAGAACGTTCTCCTAACAAAACGTGGGAGGCCCCAAAATTGCCCCACTTGGTTCAAAACCGTTTTTTTCACTATTATTTTCTATGTTTTTGTTGATGGCATTCTCGCCTTGTCGCCGCTGATCAACGCAACTCGCCTGGTGACTGCGTTTGGATATGCTGGTGGGGATGCGCGGAGCGTGAAGAATTGGAGAACGTATGGGTCGTCCAAGATTCCGTGCTCGTCGTATTTCCACCCATGGATCTTGTGGGCCTCCTCCACGCGACTTCTCCCTGGCGGGCGCGGTCCGATAGAAATCGACGCCACCTGGTCAATGCAGTCCTGAATGGACTCGGCGGTGTGCAAGTCGAAATCAGCCGCGGCAGCAGTGGACGGAGTTCGGAAGTAGTCGTCGCCAGACACGTCCGCCCCCTCCATCAAGATGTTCCGGCACAGGCAGCATGGCCGGAGGCCGCTGGCGCCGATGCACAACCACATCTGTTTGTACGCTTTTTCGTCCTGCACGAACGTGGCGACGTCAAAGTGGACGAGCTCGGGTCCGCCGCGCGCGGGCACTTGAATGCCAGTCGTGCTGAAATCCGCGATGCCGAGCGGCCCCTCGACGTAAGTAGGGAGCCCACCAAGGACGTACGCGCCCAGCTATGTACATGAACACGGCCCCTCGATCCGCGAGACCGGCCGCGTTATACGGACATTTGCGCAATGCGTTCTCTCGAAACCAGCGTGGATTCATGTACATGTACGTCCTTCTTTCGCCCCTGAGTAAGCATGTCTGCTGGAGTAGCGGCGGCGCCATGCAGGGGCATCGGCGGGGAAACGCGCATAGCGCTGGGATTGTGGCCGTTGGGCGCAAAGAAAATCCGCACCATCGCCCGCACAATTGCCGAGAGACCGCTGGCCACCCTGTCGAGATCCACCTCTGGAATCGAGACGAAACTGAGCCACGCGTGGCTCTGGCCGCGGAACCAGTTCGGAAATTGCTTGACCGTGTAGTATATGTTCATGATCTTCCTGCCTTTGTCGGGGCGGAGGGGATTGCCTGGCGTCGTCTCGTCGCAGAAGAAAACGAAACCGCCGCGGCCGTCGTCCCCGAGACAAAGGCGCAAGAACGTGCCGAAGTCAACGGCGCAGCTGCAGGCCAGAAACAAGAGAGCAAATGGGTTTGCATACTCCGCCAGGCCGTTGGGCCTCGTTATCCTTCCCATGCCCTCCCCCTCCCTCCCCTTCTTCCAGGACAAGCTAGGTGCGCTCGCGTCATATCTGACGTCCTAC